AAAAATGCCTACATCCATATTTTAGGAACCACGCCCAAATTGTACCTCGATGTTCAATTAACCGTTAACAGAACTTCGAATAACGAGCAACATACATTTTTGTTTTTGTTGAACGCCCACATTTAGTAATTCGAACTGTAATTGAAACATTGAGTTACGGGTAACATAGATATATTGTTTTGTTAACATTATTTAACTTGGACGTTAAAAAAAGCAATGTCTATGTTACTAGTAACCATTTATTGTTCAGTTACACCTTGAATTTGGACGCAGTTTCGCAAAAGTGGGCGTAGTTTCTAAAATATGTGCGTAACTCAATACTCGTAACTTGTAACTCGACATATTCAGCATCTCGCACATGACACGTTTGAACTGAAATTGAAATCACTGTGTTGGTTAATATTCAATTTCAGATAACTACTGCCTTTATTGCTCTGATTTGTATCTCATTATTTAATGGGACATGGAGGTCGTCATGCATTTTAGTTGTACACTTGTCCCAGTGTTACAGTATCCATTGTATAGACTAGTATGAATTCATGGTTGAACTTTTTCACATTTTTAGTTGTAGTACATACTCCGATTCCAATTACTTGTTATGTATGTTTCAACGTCTGCTGCTGGTGAAACCAAAACAAATGATTTCGAACTTGACTTTCTCTTTTTTTAATAATGTTAAACCCATGAGAGGGAAATATTGCATTGAGATAAAATTTATCATCATCAAACGTGTAGAGCACATTAATAAGTGTGAAAAAAAAAACTTTAAAATAATTTCATGTTTATCAAATTCTGCGCGATGCTTTGACGCCATTACGAGGCTATGATCTTTTCTGTCCAGGTTTACGTCCGATTTAAAGCATAATCCGGGAACTCGCAGTGAACAGAAAATGGTTTATTTAGTTTAGTTGTCTCCCATAATGCATTGCATATTTTTTACAGTAGTACAAAGATATTTCAACTGTAACGTCATTTGTTTTATTCTTTAGTATAGTAAGACCGCTGTGACTTCGGAGCTCTAACGGAAGTTTGAACAACCTCAAACATACTGAAATTATTACTCTTTTTTTTTACGAACAACACGTATATAACTTACAGTATCCCATTTGAATGATTCAGTTAGATTGGAAAGTTAAAAAATTATTCAATAAAGAATCAAAATAGTTTTGGTTAGATAGGACATGTTTATAATGTGAGTGATGCGTTGCAAAAACAACGTCTGTCATTTTACATATGTTCTCTTGTAACAATATGTCATCCGGGATATTTACATGTAATCAAGCCTGCTCACGTCATCGCTTAAAATAAAATAAAAGCTACATAAACGCCCGGTCGCTCATTAGCAAACAATTTCAAATCAAGCTGAACGGAACTCAAAGAGCTACTAGTTTGAGCCTCTCTTAGATGTTACTTATTTTAAAAATAAACATTTTACGATTTTTTAAGTCGTGTTTTTACGAAGAATACATTTATGTAATTGGTATACCATCTGTGACGTCATTTAATCTAATTACATGTAACTAATTTGCATTCCCATATTGTATGAATCTGTAGAAACCTTTCACTGACCTATGACCCGTCATCTACCATTGTATGGATCTGTAGAAACTGTTTACTGACCCTTGACCCGACATCTAACATTGTACGAATCTGTAGAAACTGTACTGACCCTAAACCCGACATCTAACATTGTATGGATCTGTAGAAACCTTTTACTGACCCTTGACCCGTCATTTAACATTGTATGAATCTGTAGAAACTGTACTGACCCTTGACCCGACATCTAATATTGTATGGATCTGTAGAAACCTTTTAATAACCCTTGACGTATGACCCATCTTCTAACATATAGATATGTAGAAACCTTTCACTGACCCTTGACCCGACATCTAACATTGCATGGATCTGTAGAAACCTTCCGCTGACCCTTGACCTGACATCTAACATTGTATGGATCTGTAGAAACCTTTCACTGACACATCTCGTTCACCCCTACAGGCATCATAAAGGGTCGGGGTTTTGTACATTACGTTAGGAGATTTATCCTTCAGTAATTACAATAATTGAAAATATGTTCGACTTGGTTGCAGGTTTTGTTGTCATGGCAACTAATTTTATCAACTCACATGAAGGCGTCTCTGCATATAATGAAAAGTATGAATGCACCTTTAATATCAACAATGTGAAAGCACAGAACGCGCACGAGGTAATATAAACCAAGGATGTGACGTCACTGTGTGCGTTTACAACCGGTAAATAGAATAGCGCGATAATAAGTCTTATATAAACACAGCCGATCAAACCAAACTGTACCGGAAAGTAAGAGAGTGACGAGTAAAGAGAATTTTATTCTTAAAACATGTAACAGTCAGTAAGTTAATTATTTGAGGAAATTGAAGAAAATAGTCGGAAGATTCCATCACAAGGGTCGAACTATTTCACAAAAGCGCCGCGTGGTTGCGATGAACTGTAGGCATAACACCCAAATAAACACGCGGCTAATCGGCACTAACCGGAAATCAAATAAACGGATTGTCTTTAATATTTTAACAACATAGACATCAATATAAAGCAATCTCACTTCATGTCTATATATAGAGACATACTAGTAATGTTATCCTAAAAACAAAACAAAAAACAAATAAATAAACAAATAAATAAATAAATAAATAAATAATTTCTTTTACAATTAACTTAATTGATTGGTATATTTGTGAAGCATAGAGCTCCTGGTAAGTAGTATTTCCTAAATAAACAATCAAATATTCATTCTCCAGTGACAAAAATCCAACCAGCCTCGTCACTATGTAGTACACTCTCCCTTGCAGAGTCTTCTTGACCTAGGGAGCTACAGAGAGCCACAACTAGACGTTCCCTGGCGACTACCTAGCTTAGTGATAAAAGACCCATAGTCTCTGGATGGAGAATGTATGCAGTATACACCTGCATATTTAAACTATCCATTTCACTATTTAATCACATGGTGAGATCGGTAAATAAACGCACAACTATTATAGTTGGATATGATCCATTAAACTCAAGACACAAATGACTTTCACGGCTAAAGATAAGATCATTATTTCCTCTCAAGGGATTTCATTGACGTCATAGTTCTGATTCCACGAGATGATCAGATTTAACGTTGACGAGACAATGGCTGTTTTGTTACGGAAATAGTTGTTGTGAGAGTGAATGATTGATATACTTGTATTCTTATAAGAGATGGGAGATAAGAATGGACATTCCCCAGAAGCCATTAAAACGAAAACGTTGTCAGTAACAAAAACACCATAGCTTGATGTAATGGTTGGGCCACTCCTTACATACTGAAAATATTAGAGAATTCACAAGGTCTAAGAATACAAAACTGAGAAAAAAATCTTCTCTTAAAATCCTCCAAGGAGAAGCAAACAATTGACAAATACATCACATTTCACAGTCCAATCAATACGTGCTACTTATGACCGATTATAAATACCGTTTTACTTAAAAGGCGGTGGTCGTTGCGCTGCGCATGTGCGACAATTGTGTAGATAACAATTAATTTTTCACAATCCAATGCGCACTTATAATGGGAATCACGAGTACGAGTTTTGACCTGGGCTCGACGTGCACTAAATACCATCGATGACTCATTCGATAACTTTCAAATCACCAAAAGTAATTACTTAGTTAAAGCTTGGCAACGTCTCAGTCTGTATTCGTTGGTCTGAGTAACAGTCGAAATTGCCATCTTTGTTCATATGCGACCCATATCTCGCGCATGCGTGACGCGACAACCACCGCCCTTTAACATTGCTTATGTGTATTTTCGCTAATACAAGAAGTAGCGGAATAGCGAAAACTTTTCTAAGAGTGATATTATTGTCATATTAGATACATTAAAAGCCAGCTAGTTCGTGCACTGATTCAAACGCGTTGTTTTTAATTGCGCATGCGTGGTTCGGCGCATCCAACTGTGATTGGACTGCTAGTCACAGGACGATATTGAACTATCTTGTACGATGATAGGATTTTAGAATGTATTAAACGCATCGTTATAATGCGAATAATTATTATGATCGTGTGATTACAAGGTTGTAACATACACGCCTGTCATGTGTAAATTATTTTAGGTCGTTCAAGGGCATTAGAAATTATTCAATCGAATGTATTACTAATATATTGGTGTTGTCATAAGTCGTGAGCTTTGTTTCGTATCCAGTGCGAAATATGCAAAAACTATGGGCGTCGCTGTTAAAACACTATTTCGGAAGAAATATAACTTATTATTATACATCTGTCACCGTAACGCCATAATTTACAGCGTGCTATAATTGTGCGGTATTTTACGGGGTATTTTCATCCTACCATATTAGGAAATGCGAATTCCAAATATGGAATGATTACGCGCGTAAGCGTCCTCTAATAATAAATACAAACATGGCTGCCATCGGGGTTTGACTGGACTCCACACAAAGAAGTTCGCTGATTTTTTTTGAATTTCAGCATTCCCATGACGTATCCTTGGAAGAAAAACATGTATAATAATAAGGCTATTACGAGAATACATCAAAGTATGCATTCAGACAGTACACTGTCGCATCGTCTTCGTGCATACTTTGAGGTATCCTCGTAATAACCTTATATTATTATCTTATTATACTATACTATACTATACGTAACTGAAACAAGATTGAGATGTGACGAGATCTTATTACAATGGCAACTAGCGGTAAACGGTTGCAAGCCTCGGAAAACTTCGTGGAAGTTCGGCACATAGTTTGGAAACCATATTGTTTCGTCTGCATTGGATGAACAACAGCTTAAGAAGCCACGTCGTAAAA